TTATATGTATGTATAATTATAGTTGACATACAGTGTTATTCAACATCAGTTTCAGAAATACAATGCGTTGATAAGGCCTCCACATCAACTATGAAGTGGACTCCCCAAAAGGGCATTGGTCCATCTGGCTCCCTAAGAAATGCTTACAACGTTATTGATTGTAGTCAGAGAAAGACAAATATCATATGATCTCAACATATTTATTAAAACACTGGAAAGAACGGCTTTTCAGGTCTTCCCTGTTGCAGGAATACGAACGGTTCCTGTTTACGTTGGTGAAACTTAAAAATAAGACCTTGACTGAAACAGCAAATTATGTCTGTTTAGCACTGCTGCAGTATAAATTCCTTCAAAGGCAGACCGTCTTATGTATTTTTATATCATAAACTCTACAAGATTTATTTGCTAAACGATATGCAGTAGTCTGAGTTTGGTGAGTTTCATCTTCTTAAAATATTAAAATTCCCAGTAATGCAAACCGTGCAAGTCCTTTCTATTTACTGAACGACTACTGAACGAGGGCCTGTAAAGTGCCAGGCACTGGTGATACTGAGATTCCCTAAGACGCATCGGTTCCACGCCCGGCGGGCGCTAAACGCATATAGGCGCTCGGTCAATCTGCAGACTCCAAAGACACGGTGGCCAAGAACCAGGGGCCTGGGCCAGGATTTCTCCCCGGGATGGCGCTAAGCTTTATCTCTCCATCTGCCCTCGCTGTTTATCTCCTCTCGTCCTTCTCCACCCAGAGATCAATGAGGGGGTGGAAAGGCGGTCACGACAGTTTTAATTCGAATGAAGTGGAAAAGCAAGGGCTACGGGGGGGGGGGGGGGGGGGGGGGGTAGTGGTGGTGAAGGACGACCCGGACCCCCTGCCTCCTCCACCTAGATAGCGCGGCACTGCCGCTTGAGGCGGGGCATTCCTGGAAGGTTCTCGGCGAAGCACTCCAAGGGCCGACCCAGCCTCACCCGCTTTCCGCTGAAGCCCACCTTTCCCGCCCCACTTACCCTAAGTTCATGGCCTGACCTCTCGCTCACTCCACAGGACGCTCCAGCCCCTTGTGTACGTCTGTTGCCGCTGCCGATCAACAAGCTCTATGCCGATTGGATACAATGATGCCGGCGAGCTGGGATTGCAGATCAATCAGTGCTGGGCTTGCTTGTGGGTGCGCCCATCGGGGGCGGAGCTGCAGGGGTGACAGGCTTCCTTAGGCAGGCCCGGGGCTCGGGAGCCTTACACCCGGGTGGAAGACGCGTGCCTTCGTGCCTCTATGTTGTAACCTCCCAGAGTTCACAGGGAGACCTCAGAAAAGTGCCTCAGCTCAGGTGGAGGTGGCAAAAATAGACAGAAAAAAAAAGCATAAACGTTTTTAGGAAATTAACATGCTCTATGTTTTATATTTGGAAGAGGTGGTTATTTTAGTATAAAATAAGTGTAGGGTTGGGTTCTGGGGAAAAACTTCTAGGGGGGGTACAGGTTAGGTCTTATTTCTTGTCATGACCTCAGCATGAAGGCTAGCACATTGTAGCTCTTTTTAAAAAGCAATAATCACAAGTTCTCAATAAATTTAGCTCTTATGTTCCAGACATGGATCTAAGCGCTTTATGTCTATTATTTAAGCTTTCGAACATTATCCTTGAGGCACAGAGAGGTTAAGCAACTTGTCCAAGGGTCACTGATATCAAGCAATTTAACCCCAGAGCCCGTGTTCCAATCTAGTGTTATATGAGTCTAATTCCTATTTATCCTTTATATCTCAATTTAAACTTCACTTTCTTTACCAAGCGCCTCTTGAATCCACTTGTGGGTAAATTAGAAATCCATTCTCCAAACTCCCCCATTGCTGCTCTTTCAATCAGGATAGTAATACATCTAAGATATTATTCAGAGTGAGCTTCAAGGGGCAGACAGTTGATACCATACATCTCTATAGCCACTGCACCTGGCACTGAGCAGTATAGACAGTAAATATTTCTTAAATGAATGAACAGCAAAAATAAAAAATGCCAACAACTTTGACTGAATTTATATTTCATGATGAGGTTATCCCTAGATTACAATGCAGTTACTAAAACTTCACCAGTTTTTTCATCTATCTGCTCTTAAGTGATTTTTACAAACTATAGTTGTAATTAATTAGGCATGTTGAATTCTCTTGGTACATTGAATGAAATCTCAAAGAGTTTTTTTTTTTTTTAAGATTTTATTGGGGAATTGGAGGAGGGAACAATGTTGGAGAATCAGGGAAGGGAAACACAAGTTGCTG